TATATATATATATATATATATATATATATATATATATATATATATATTTTTTTTTTTTTTTTTTTTTTTTTCTATCACTAGGAATTTGAAGGGTGATGAAGCGAGGTCATAATGTATAGGAATATATACTTATATACTTTTATTACTACAAATTTTGAATACACACACAATCAATTAATTCAAATATTCGGTATTACGATATGTGATTAAGGTTACGAGAGTTTGTTAAGTTAATAGACAAAAGAGTCGTTGTCTACTTTATAAATACTCATCAACCATCCCACCTCCCCATTCCATTTTTTGCATCTTTCCTGTTCAGATTTGTGGGAGACCCTCAAAAAGCAGAGAGAGATCAAAAAGGTTGGGACTTGATTAGTTTCTCTCTTCAATTATTCATATCATATATCCATTCATCCGTAAATCTCAAGAAGATTGATGCCAAAATTCTTCTGCAAATCAGTTATAGTTTTTACTGTATGGTTGGTTTCGAAAAACCCAAAAAAGAAATAGATCATGGAAATCCTTGATATCAAGGACGTTGTTTGGGCAAAAAATCAGCTAAATTTTTTCAACTTTTTTGGGTTTTATGATACTGTTCATTTTGTAGTAGTAATGGAGTTTGTGTTGTTTATAAATTTTGGATTATTTTCTTATGAGTTTGAGATTGATTTCAGGTGCATCTATGTCGTTTCCAAATGATTCAGGGGAGATGTCTCCACAAAGAAAATTGGGGAGAGGAAAGATCGAAATCAAACGGATCGAAAACACAACCAATCGCCAGGTTACCTTTTGCAAGCGTCGCAACGGTTTGCTCAAGAAGGCTTATGAGTTATCTGTTCTTTGTGATGCTGAAGTTGCTCTTATTGTCTTCTCTAGTCGAGGTCGACTTTATGAGTATGCAAATAACAGGTGAACTTTCTTGAATTTTGCATCTATTTTTAACGAAATCTTTAATTCAAGAAAAGGTTTCTGAATCTTCATCTTTTTCTACCAAAAAATTGGTTCATGATGGAGATTAGTTTGGATTTCTTGATGCCTTCTGGGTTGGGTGTGTAAGTACATGAATGAATGTTGGCGTATTTGTGAAAGACTTGTGTTGAAGATTTAAGAACCCGAACACAATGATAAGGTGTTTGTGAGATTTTTGAGTTTATTTTTGCTGCTGAACAAAGATTCACTTGTCTTTCTCTTTTTCTGCTTTGTTTCTTTACCTCAATGAGCTTATTGTTTTTTAATAATTTTACTTTTTTTTTTCTATTGTTAGTTTTCTTCTTTATGATCCGATATTTGTTTCATATTTTGGTACCTAAAAGATCTGTTGTTATAGCAAGTCTTGGATATGTTGTGAGCAAATAAGCAAAGATTTAGGAAGTGTATTGCAGAACACTGAGATCAGCTTCCCATCTACCCTTTCTCCATTGCTGTTTAACCTCTCTCTCTCTCTCTCTCTCTCTCTCTCTCTCTCTCTCTCTCTCTCT